ATCGAGTTCGATGGCCACATACGCATACTCGACTACGAGTATGAGTATCGCATTATTAGCTTGATGCTGGGACTGATTAGTGAGAACTCATGGGCACTCGATGAGGTGGAGCGTGAAGAGACGATCTATGCGCTGCAAGGCATTGCTCCAGAGCCCGTTGTCGCCGGACTCTTTGATATCTACACCGTTCCCAGCGATCGCTGCCCCAATAAGTTCAAGTACCAGGAGTCGCTGGTGGCGCGGATTGTGGCACAGAATATTCTGCAGCCTGGACTACGTTTTCGCAGCGATGAGTTTATGACCACCTGGCAGGAAGCCTTGCCGGAGGGCATGAGCTGCAAGATCGAGTATCTGCGCGGTTTGGGCATCTTGGACAAGGAGGGTGCACAGCCCTGTGTGCGCTCCCTGGCCGAGGAGCATCTACCCTCCAATATTAATGATCGCATGCGCGTCTTGTTTAAAACAAAACGCAAATGGACGCTGGACGAGATGGAGCCATACATTGAGTAAGGAATAGAGCCGTAATTATATATTAAACCTAATCTAAAATTATTTTTCTCTGCAGCTGCTTTACAACACCCGCCCTATCCGTCTCCACCTTGCTAGCCAAGCACGCGCGCTCCCTGACCGAGGGTGGCACACGTTACTTCGTTTCCAAGCATTGATTGCATCCATGTCATCAACATATATATATTGTACAGTAAACTAGCATATAATTATTTACACTTTGCGTTTGCGTTTGTTGCGCTGCTGCTTGGCCAGTTTCATGTCCTCGATGGCTGCCTTCATGGTTTCCACAGCGCTGCGGGAATCGCTGCTGGCAATGTCCGTGCCCTCGACCAGCTGGCCCGTGCTGGTGGGATACTTAAAGCTGAATCCCTTGGGGAAAATGGGGCGTGAGAGTAGGGCGCTTAGCTGTGCGCGCACCGTATCGACATGCAAGCGATTGCGTCTCCTTTCAATGATGAATGCATCCTCGTCCTGGTCGCTACCACTGCAATCGATAAGGGTATTAGAATAATGATCATCAGAAGTACATGTTCACCTACGACTCATCGTTGTAGCCATCGATAATCATATCCATTTCCTCGGCATGCTTCTTCATCCAACCCTCCTCGCTTTGGGTGCGACGCAACTTCAGTTCCTCCTTGTCCAGTTCACGGGCTAGATTAACTCGCTCCTTGACCGCACCCAGGAAACGTTCAGAGATGGGAAATAGTGGTAAATCCTCAGCTGTAAGAGATTACATTGATTATGGTGCTCAGATTTTCATTTTTGAGTAACCTACTCCTCTCCAGCGTCTTGTGTAGCCTCACATAGGCCTTCACCTCGCCCGGTTCCATGAACATTACTGTTATGCCATGTTTGTTGGCGCGCGCTGTGCGACCCGAGCGATGTACATAGTTCTCGCTGGTGCGCGGCACTTGGTAGTGTATCACATGCTCAACATTGGGTATATCTAAGCCACGGGCGGCCACATCGGTGGCTATCAGCAAGCCAATCGGGTTGTCCCGAAAGCGTTCCAAATTCTTCAGACGTTGCTTCTGAATCATATTCGCGTGCAGTGGCAAAGGATTGCAGTCCAGCAGGCCGAACAACGTGGCCAGCCGCTTGACACAATCGATGGAGTTGCAGAAGACAATCGTGCGACCTGGATGACGTTGAACAAAGTAGTACAAATAGTAATCCTTCTCATCGATGGCGCACAGCAGACGACTCTCGGTGAGCGTCTGAGCAGTTTCTGAAACGGGATTGAATCATAATTAAAGAGATTCTTCTTTGGATTCGAGTTAAATTACGCTGGCTGCTGGTAATGTCCACAATCTTGGGCTGCGATATGCCCAGCTCTTCTATGAGGCTCTCGATCTTTTGATCCACCGTTTGCTTGACGAACTTGGGTCGCTTGGCCAGATTACGTTCTGTAATATGGTGAATGATCAGTTGAGTATTCTCTACAATCTATATTTTCTCTTACTTTGCATATGCTCGGGCAGATCATGGACCAGCGTCAAGGTGGCCGAGAAGACAAAGTTTTGTCGCAGCTTCTTGCGTTCCTCATCCGCATTGAGCACCTTGAGCAGGCTGCGGAGCTCCTCGAAGTGTCCCTTCTCCACCATGCGATCGGTTTCATCAATGCACAGAAAACTCACATTTTCAATCTTGCTCAGATGACTATTGCCCTGCGCATATAATTCCCAGAGTCGTCCCGGTGTGGCCACCACAATTTCCGGGCATTGACGCAGCACACGCTCCTGCTTGGCCACGGACAAGCCGCCAAAGATGGCGGCGACATTGATGCCCGTATATTTGGCGGCGCTGACCAGATGATTTTTCACCTGCACAGCCAATTCACGGGTGGGCGTTAGCACCACGGCGTAGAGTGGCCGTTGCTTTGCCTCTGGGTCGTGCTCGTTGTCGCTCTCCTCATCACTGGCGCCGGACACATAGTCCAGCTCCTCCGGTGGCGGTGTCAGCTCATGGTTATCTTTTGTTGGCGGCGCCTCTTCTACTGGTCCTTGAGCGCCTTTCACCTTTGGCGCCTTGCGTATGCCAGAGTCATCGTTGCGCTGCTTCAGTTCCATTATGCCTGAGAGTATGGGTATACCAAAGGCGAGAGTTTTGCCACTTCCGGTTTCCGCTGCACCCAGTATATCCTTCTTGCCGTGTATAGCTGCCGGCAGAGTCATAGCCTGTATCTGGGTGGGCGCCTCGTAGCCCAGCTCCGCCAAAGCTCGCATAATTGGCTCTGGCACGCCCATGCCATGCCATTTCGTCATATCCAAATTGCTTGGCTGTGACTCACATGGCACTAGCTCTGGCACCTGCTCATCGTCGGCACTCTCTGCACCTTCCAGCTGCTCATCATCTGATGGCGGCGGCGGACGCAGCAACGCAAAGCGATCTGG